AAGCTGGCCCTGTCCTGTCCTACTGCCCCACCCCCCACCTAGAATCCGAGTCCCTGCATGATCATCGCAGGTCTGGAAAGCTCTTTGCCCCCTCCCCACCACTGAGGCCAGTTCATCTGCCCTGTGGTGCTAACACTGCAGGGCCACTGGTTCCTGGATGTCAGCAAGCCCCCTTTGGGCAGCCACTAGCCCTCTGCTCCCCGAGTGGCTCCTGCCCCAGGGTGTCAGCTGTGGGCGTGTGGTCACAACTCCTCCTTCCCTCCAGGTGGACCTGGCACCAACCTGGCACCACTGGACCACGTTCCTGTCCTCCTCAGCCCAGGTCTGGTCCCTGCACAGTCCTCAGTGGGATCACTGGTTGACTGCCTCCCCACCCGACCACGTGCAGGCTCCTTCAAGACCTGCCTGAGGTCAGCCCATGTGGCCCCGCACGAGGCTGTGAGGCAGCGGCGTTCAGGCTCGAGGCCCGTGAGCAGCCCCAGTGGACCTCCTCGTCATAGCCTGACGCTGAGAAGAACGGGAGGTCCACGCAAGGACTCACGTGCCTTCTCCTGTGGCATTTCAAGTTTGCTACAGAGAACATGTATTAGTTGCTCATCAGAAAAAAGTGCTAGGCAGATGCTACTCTAAAACGTCAGCAGCTATTTGAAGCAAGCCCCTGGGTAGTGGTGAGTCCCTCCTGCCCTCGGGGAGTGGGAGGGGCTGGAGATGACCAGGAAGGATGAGTTGGACCAGGCTGCTTATCCTCCACGTGGGTATTGATGCCGACAAGGGAGGGCTCCCAGCGTCCAAATCTTGGCAGGACCCCCAGTTTCAGCACCGAAGCCAGGACCCGCCGTGCCCCAGGACAGAGGCCGACGAAGCCTCTGTCTCCTGCGCTGGCTAACAGTCTCTGAGGGTACGGAGGTGAGGGCAGCCACAGGCTGCTGGGGGCCCCACTGCGCCGGGGCCTGTGGCAAGCAGGCCTGCAGGACAGGTTACCTTCCTCATGATCTTCCGGCCATAAAACATCACTTTGTCTCTCTTCCGGAACCTGTACTGAGGAGTGGGCTGTACTTGTCCTGCAAGGGGAGCAGAAGGGCCTCCTGAGCCACGGCTGGGACACAAAGAGGTGGGAGGGTTCTGCCAGGCAGCCCGTAGGCTGTGCACACCGAGCCTGTCCTGTCCCTGCTCCGGCATACAGTGTGGGGGAAAGGCGCATGGCATCTTGGGCCCGGGCCGGCACAGGCTGGCTCACAGGGAGCAGGACTTGCGTCTCCTCTTACCAAAGTTTTGCTCAGAAATGTGAGCCAAGAAAGCTGGGGACATACACAAATTCCATGGGTCCAACATGCACAGCCTCAGCTGGGACAGGCTGGCAGTTCCCAACAAAAGCTATCATGGGCCTGAGGGCTGCTCCCAGGAGCTCAAAACACGGGCAAGTCACCCAAACCTCCCCCACCCTCCCAAGCCTTGTCCCTTACCCCAGAGCTGGAGTCTGAAGTGAGATACTCACGGAATCGGTTAACCCTTCTGTACACAAAGAAGACGGTGATGCCAACGAGGGCCAGGGCCAGGAGGGCTCCAATCACAATCCCCATCAGCTGGGTGAGGTCACAGACAGAGCACCCGTCAGCAAGCCTGCCACACTGCCCCTCCCCACCCTGGCAACAGGCTGGGACAAAGGGGCCAGGAGCAGCCAGGAGCGCAACAAGTCACAAACCCCAGGGCCCACCCGTCACCAGGAAGCACTTGAGGTGGTTACCATGGTGGACTGTGAATGCTGTTCCGTCAACTGCAGCCCCCAGGACTGCAGGGCAGCACCCAGACAGAAGCCAGCCTAGGGGAGAACACTGTGGTCAGGAAGGGCCAACACAGGCGTGGCCCTGGCTTCCCAGGGCAGCCAGAATAGAGAATAGACAGGGTAGGGAAGAAGGGATCTTCTGGGCTGCTAAGGTCCTCTGAGCACACCTGCTCAGTAGACAGAGAAACCGGTCTCCCATGGCCACCCACGGGACACGGGGTCAGGCAGTTGGGCAGGGCCAGCAGCTGGGCTGTGTTGACCACAAATACCCTACGCATTTTTATCGCATGTGAATCCTAAATTTTCAGCTTTCCAGTCCTTCAGATGCAAGCCTAGAGGAGCAAGCCCGGCGGGCCACAGGGGGCGCGAAGGCCATCACTCGGTGCCCTCTGATCACCAACAGGACTGTGCACTGCCGGCCTCAGGGCACATGGAAGCCTACACCACAGCAATGCTGAGGAACCCCAAAGAGCCACGGATCTTGAGATTTTCTGGATTTTGAGAACCTTGAATACCAGCTCATAGCAGGGAAAGGTTATGTGCCTGCTCCCTACCACCTCCTAGGGAAGGAGTTAGTGGGGCTTCAGAAGCTCAGACCCAAGGGAGGGAGGAGGAAGAGAAAAAAGTGAGCACAGGATGGTGAACGGGCAGATGGCTGGGGCCACCCACACGGAGAATATCGGCTGATTCCTCAAAAAGATGAAAACGAGCAAGAGAAACCAGCCAAGCAAGCAGCCACTCTGCATTCCCCCCAAGCAGCCAGGAACAGGATGCGGCAGGGGGCACCTGTTAATCCTTTCAAGTCACAAGTGCCAAGGACTAAAGTATCCTGTCCGGTCCTTAGCGAGAGAGCACCAGACAGAGCATGGATGCCAGAAAACCCAATGAAATGGAAGGGCATTCAGAAAAAAGTCTCAAAAGCAGAATGTTGCCGCAAGACAGGGTAAGTACGTGGCCCAGAAAAGCAAGTCTTTGAAGTTGGTTCAGCAGGCAAATGGAAGCAGTGGGAACTTTTTGCTTCGGAGCTGAGGCATCCAGCCCCTCCTGGCCCCGAGTGCTCAGCTGTCAACATGACAGCACCCACGACCCACTCTTCACTTAGGTGTGTCCCCTGGAGCTCAGCCACCATGTCAAGGACAACCAAGGATAACCAAGGAAAGGGTCACAGAGGTGGCCCGTAACTGAGTTATACAATCTCCTATATTGAGCATCTCAGGCTTTTCATGGTTGTTTTAATGCATCCACTTTTCTGCTTCAGGAATAAAGGCCTTTGTGATATGGCTACAGATGTTCCACAGAGAAAAGACTCACGTCGAAGCAAACAGAAGTCCTAAGGGGAAGCAGGAACTGACAGTTGTGACCTCGGGGGAAGAAGTGGCAGGGTCTCGACTCTGACAAGGGGACGGAGGGGCCCAAGCTGCCACTCCCATTCAGCCGACTTCAAGGAGCTGCCCACAGAGCAAATCTCCTTGTCCAGAAATGCCGCTGACTGGGAATTCTGAGGCTCTGAATCAACCCTGGAACCCTCCAGTTCCATACCTCTGGGCTGGCATCCTCCTCTTGCTTCATGGCTAAAAATGAAAAAAAAAAAAAAAAAAAAAAAAACCAGTCAAGGTGAAAACAGGAAAGATTGGTTCAAAGGAGGGCAAGGGTCCCCCCAGCTCATGCTCACGGGGCAGAGCAATGCTTTCAGCCTTTCCTCCTGGGCTCCTTTTCTCTTTAAATTATGTTTGCACTGAAAGGAAAACCCTGACGGAAAGCTGTGTTCTCCAGGGAGGGACCAGAGTCACTCCCCTCTCTGAAAACAGCTCTCCTGTGGCTGCCCAGGAACCCACAACTGCAGCCAAGTCCCGCTCTTCTCCCAGCAGGTCAAGGGCAAGCATGGACTGCTCAGCCAAGGCCTAGTGCCGCCCGGAGCTCCCAGGGCCACAGGGAGGAGGCTGTGGCTGGGGGCGGGGTAGGGGCGCACGGGGCCCCGCAGGGAACTGAGACACCCTAGTGGCCTGCCTCAGGGGGGTTCCTATCCAGCGGGGTTGAGTCCTCAAGGTGGGTGTGTCAGGTGGAGGAGGATGAACTTGGGGAGCTGGTGCACCTTGCCCCTGTCTAGTGGGGAGGAGCCAGGTCTGGGGCTTTCACCCTGTGGCTCCCAGGCCCCTTAGAAAAGCAGCAGCAAGGCTCTTCTCTCCCAAAACGCCATCCAGAGAAGTCAGGACGCAGAAGGCACATGCAGGGTCATAGTGCATTTGCTCCTGCGTCCTCTGCCACCCACATGGAAAACCCCTCCTTCTCAGATGAGTCTCCTGAAGGGCTAGTGCCCTGACCAGGCAGTCTCCCCGCACATCCCATCCCTGAGTGTCTGAAATGGGGCAGAGCTCACGGCCCCCAGCACCCGCTAGGGACACAAAAGTGGAAGTCATTGCTTCTCCGCCTGGGACAGCAGAGCCAGACGAAGTGGGAAGCAGGGGGCTGCAAGGCTGGGAAGCGGCAGGTTAGGGAGGCATCGGGGTTAGTGGCCGTCCAGGTTGGGGGCTGTCGGTGTAACCTCGGGGTTGACAGCGTTGGGGCTGGCCGACGTCGGGGGTTGGAGAGCCAGGGCTGACGGGTGTCGGGGCCAAGGGGCATCGGAGTTAGGGGGTTTGGGTTTGGGGACAGCGAGGCTGGGGGGCTCGCGGTCGTGTCTGGGTTGGGGGCTGGGGGTCGACAGGCGTCAGGGCTGGGGCTCAGGGTCGGGGAACCTCGGAGCTGGGGGCTCGGGGTCGACGGGCGTCGGGGCTGGGACTGGTGGCTCACGTCCGGGGGACCCGCCTCCCACCACGCGGCGCAGGGCCGGCAGGGCCTGCGGGGCAGGGTGCGTCCCGGCAGGGGTTGGGGGCGTTGACGGCTACCCCGCCTCACAGGGCCAGGCCCAGGGCACCGCCATCTCGGGGCGCTCTGCGGTGACTCACCGGGACCGCGCGCTCCCGCCGCCCGCGCCCCCGCCACCACCCCCGCCGCCCCGCCGCCCCGCCGCGGACGTCGCACCTCCCAGCGCACTGGCCGGGCCCGGACGTCCCGCCCACTCGCAGGGCCGAGGCTGTGCATTGGACGCAGCGCCGCCAATCGGAGCTGCTCTTGCTGCGGCGCGGAGGCCGGGTGGCGCCGGAAGCCGCCGGGTGGCGCCGGAAGCCGGGCTGACCGCCGGAAGCCGCCGGGGGCGCCGGAAGCCGCCGGGTGGCGCCGGAAGCCGGGCTGACCGCCGGAAGCCGCCGGGGGCGCCGGAAGCGGAGGGCGGCGCGGCTGATCGCGGCGCGTGGAGCTGTGTGCGACAGCGTCCGCGTGGCGCGCGGTCAGCATGGGCCTCCTGAGCGGGGCCGCTCGCGTCGTGGTGCGGGGCGCCGACCGCATGAGCAGGTGGACCAGTAAGCGGGGCCCGCGCACCTTCTACAAGGGCCGCGGCGCCAAGGGAACCGGCGTCCACGGCCGCGACGGGAAGTTCGTGCAGATCAAGGAGATGGTCCCGGAGCTGGTGGTGCCCGAGCTGGCCGGCTTCAGGCTCAAGCCCTACGTGAACTACCGCGCGCCGGCGGGCGCGGACACGCCCCTGACGGCCCGACAGCTGTTCCGCGAGGCGGTGGCGCCTGCCGTCGAGAAGGACTTCCGGGCCGGCGCCTTGGACCCGGCGCGGCTGGAGAAGTACGGCTTCGAGCCCACCCAGGAAGGCAAGCTCTTCCAGCTGCACCCCAAGAACTTCCCGCGCTAGGGGCGGCTTTGGCCTGTGGTCCTCGTGAGGTGGCGGGACCGAGGCGGAACCCTGGAGACCCACTCCCGCGAGGCCGGCAGCCGTCGCCCCCCGACCGCCCGCTGTTGGGCGAGAACACACGGCTCGGCTCGCAGGAGGAGGAGAACGCACGGGGCACGCGGTGCCGCGCGACAGCGCACACTCTTCACCCCCGAAGCCAACGAGCACGTGCTTCGCGGCTGCTTTGGGGGCAGACCTCCAGTAACCTGGTCTCTCCCCCTTGGGTTCGCCTGTTTCTGTGCACAGCCTCTCTGGTCTTCTGTGTTCTGCCTAATATCTGGCTTTTATGTTAAATACCGTTACTCTAAAGGAGGGTTCAAATTCTGTTGAAATAAATGCGCCATTAGCTGGGAATCGATCATTTTAGCACAGTAGTTTCTTCCGTGCGCTGCCCTATATTTCATCAGAAAAGAAAGCAAAAAATAGAAGTGTGTTTTCTGGGATGTCTGGGTGGCTCAGTCCATTACGTGTCTGCCTTCAGCCCAGTTCATAGTCTTGGGGTTTGGGGCCGGAGTCCTGCTTGGGCTCCCTGCTCAGCAGGGGTGTCTGCTTCTCCCTCTGCCTGCCCCCTTTGTTCTTGCACACACACTCTCTCAAAGAAATAAGATCTTAAAGAACTGTGCGTGTGTTCTGCCTCTGAACCAACTGCTTACGAGATTAGTACCTACTGAAGATTTGCCAGACTCCACACTGGCCTGCACTTCAACGTGTTTCTTCCACAGAGACAAGAATGAAGTCTGTGGGAGTCACATGAGTCACAAATTCAGTTATGTGTTCAAGCTACTCCGTGTCCAGGCTTTGGAAGCCACTCAGGTACTAAAGCTGCAAGGGGGAGGAGGGATCAGTCCACCACACTAACCTATTTCAAGTTTATGACCGATAAGGCAACTCAATGTGTGTACACTTCCCTTTGTTTATCAGCATAGGAGACTGATAAGCACATCTGGTGCCATGATGAGGTGATCTTTTTAAATGTGCATGTAAAACTATTGTTAAGTAGCTTTAAGGAAAAGCACACTTTCAGGGCACCTGGGGGCTCAGTCGGTGAAGGGTCTGCCTTCGGCTCAGGCCATGATCCCAGGCTCCTGGGATCCAGCCCCGCATCGGGCTCCCTGCTCGGCGGGAAGCCTGCTTCTCCCTCTCCCACTCCCCCTGCTTGTGTTCCTTCTCTCGCTGTTTCTCTCCCTCTGTTGAAACATAAATAAAATCTTCAAAAAAAAAATAAAAAACTATTGTTGGGGCTCAGTCGGTGACGCGTCTGCCTTCAGCTCAGGTCATGATCTTGGGGTCCTGGGATTGAGATCTGCGTGGGGCTCCCTGCTCAGTGGGGAGTCTGTTCCCTCTCCCTCTGACCCTCCCTGTTTGCGTTCTCTCTCTTCTCTCAAATAAATGAAATCTTAAAAAAAAAAAAACACACACTTTCATTTAGCTCATTTAAATGAGTACAAAGAGCCGAATGTCCCTATGCACACAAGAAACTGGGAAGTTTGAGCTGGGAACCAAGACCCTTCCACACCCACAATAGCAGACTCCTTGCTATCAGGCAGAGTCACCACTTGCCGCAGCAGATAAGGTTTATTTAGAAAGCCAAGAGCTGCTTTGTTCACCCTGTAGAGCCCGTAAGGTGCACTGAGCCCTATACGGTCACCTGTGGCGTACAGGAAGACTCTCAAGGAGATGGTCTGAGGGCAGTTCAGAGTCACACTCTGGGTTTTATTTGTGGAAATGGTCTTTATGACTTCAACCAAACTCTTCCCTAGCTCAGCTGCTCTCCCACTTCCAGAGGTGAAGAACGTGATCATAAAAGGAGCAAGTAGCTAGGAGGTCAACGTCCAAGCTCGCTGCTTCCAGAGAGAGGTCACAGTCACAGACCTTGGGCCCTGCAGCGTGGTACCAGCTGCCGCTCTTCGTCATGTCCTCTGTGAGTGGATGGAGAGGCGTCTTTGGTCTGCTGCTGCTCTGAAGTTTGGAATGACCCTCTTCCTCATCCTCTGCTAGACGATGAGAAGAGGCTGCCGGTGACTGACGTACAGCGTTCAGGCTGTAGAGCTGTGAGGCTTTGGCTCCTAAGTTGCTGTCGGGAAAGGCCCCTAAGCAGCACAGCTGGTGGGTCTGTGACAGATGGCCGAAGTAGAGCCAGGACCAGTCAGCTCCATACACCAGTGAACTGGGCAACATATGGGACACAGAGACTGTGCAGGCTTCCTGCTTCTCCTCTGGAATGAGAACATGCGACGTTACCCAGGGTTGATCTCATCACTTCCAACCAATGGCCCCTGCCCACTGTCAAAGGGAGACTCTGCTAAAAGCAGAGTCAGCAACCACTGTGTGTCACACAAAGGGACCCTTGGGATGTGGACGGATGAGAAGAAAACAGACCTTCACTTGCAGGGAGTGCACCGCATGTGCGCCTGAGGGAGAAATCAGCTACAGAAGCACGTGGGCGAGGGTGCCTTTCCAAGCTGGAGGACTTGGCAAAAGTCTCTTAGTGAAGACTTCAAAGCAAAGGACAAAGGAGGTAGCCAGATGGGAGCAACAGGGATGCATGAGAAACAGAGAACAAGCATGTGTGAAGTATAGAGATAGAACAGGACACATCTGGGCAACCACAAGTGCCCGTGGCTGAAATGCCATCAGGGAGTGGCGACACATGTCTGGAGGGTGACAATCGTGTAGAGTTCTGCATGCTCCATAAAGTCTGGGTTTGAGCTTGGAAAGGAGTCACTAAAGAGTTTAAGCATTTTCCTTATGGTGAGTTGCTATGGCAACTTTGAGGCTGGAGGGCAGGACTGGAAAGAGGTCTAGCTATAAAAAGTTTGAAAGCAACATTCAACCAGAGAAAGAAATGACAAGGTGTTGCCAAACCTGAGATAGTCTAGGGTCCAGGGCAAGGCCAAGGATGGCGAGAGCAGCTACAGGAAACTAGTGGCCAGTGACCTGGGGTGTGGACTTAGAAAACTGTCACCAGCTGGAAGGCCTGGTGGCCAAAAATCGAGGGAAGTACTCAAAAATCAGTAGGGACATGTGGCACACACAGGAGACGGCTTCAGGGGGTTTTCATGAGAAAGCCCTAGGATGATGTGAACATTATAATGAGTAATGACAATAACACCTTATGGCCCACTGAGTAACATAAAAGCCATGAATCTGTATGGACAATTAATAAATACAGATTTATGGGAGAAAAGAAAGCTCTTCCTTATAAAAGAATGCTAATTTTAAAACGTAGAAAAAATGGTAATGGGGCGCCTGGGTGGCTCAGTCGTTAAGCACCTGCCTTCGGCTCAGGTCCTGATCCCAGGGATCATGGGGGATCGAGCCCCACATCAGGCTCCCTGCTCAGTGGGAAGCCTGCTTCTCCCTCTCCCACTCCCCCTGCTTGTGTTCCCCCTCTCTAACAAATAAATAAATAAAATCTTTAAAAAAATTGTAAAAATATATATACATATTTACACATCTGTATATATATATATATATATTTTTTTTTTTAATAAAAAAATAATGAACAACCAGACAGAAAACCAACAGAGCACGTGAACAGAATCTGCAGAGCTCTCTGCCCGGGGCCATAGAGCAAACTCTTCTGAAGAGCACACGGAACGCTCTCTGGGACTGACCCCCACACACGAACCGACAATACAAGTCTCAATAACTTAAAAGGAATCCATGAAGGAATAAAATTAGAAATCAGTAACAAAGAAATTTAGGCCAGTCACAAAAATGTGGAATGAAACAACACACTCATAAATAACTAACGAGTCAAAGAAGAAATCACAAGGGAAATTAGAAAGTACTGGAGATGAACGAAAACATACCACACCCCAAAACTAATGGAATGCAGCAAAAGCAGTGCTCAGAGGGCAACTTCTTACTGTAAATACCCACATTAACACGCAAGATCTCACAAGGCTTCCAGCTGAGAACTGCATGTTCGCGTCACTACCAGAACGGATGCGCAACAGTTGGAGGAACTGAAAACACAAAACAGGAAGCCCGGAGCGCAGCCCCACGCAGAGGAGACTGGGCTTCAGAGCCACTCTGGCCAGGTGGTGTCTCTACTCACTTCTTTGTATGGACAAGGAGGGAGGGGGATCACAAACAGAACGAGGAGGGAAAGGGGGCATTGGCGGCTTGAGAAGAGAGAAGAAAATGTGAAAAAGTTCTGACAGTAAAGAATGGCTGGCAGGAGAAAGGCCACGGTTTGCCTGGCAACTCCAAGGACCCACTGTAACATCAACCTAAAGTGAGACCCCACAGGGTTACTCTTTCCCTCCAACCCCCTTGTGTGGCTCAGGCCCAAGTGGAACTGGGTCTGACCAGTGCTGGGAGCTGCCCAGAGTGAGCAAGGGAGCAAGGGGAAGAGAGCTGAAGCATGTTGGGAACATGAGAGCACGCAGACCACCACACTGCACAGGCAGGAAGACGTGGCAGGAGGTGGGCCAAGGACAGCTCTGGAATGCTTCTGGAGCAGAGTCCTAAGAGGGCAGAGAACATCTGAATGGCAGGAGGTATCAGAAGAACTGAGCTGGTCAGGTAAGACCCATGGCTAAGGAGCAGAGTGCTGCAGACTGAGGCTCGAGGCTGGCCCAGTTACGGGCCTTGGTGAGATGGCGGTGTGAGCCTGGGGACGTGCAGAGCAAGGGAACAGGAAAACTGGGAACCCCCACCCCAGGCCTGGCTGCCAAGGGGCCCCTACTCACCTATCGCCTTTTGGCAGTTGAAGATCTTAAAGCCACTGTGCATGCACGCTGCCAGGAGCAGGTGATGGTGGAAAGGGTGCCACTTGAGCCTCCACACTCCGCCCTGCGTGGGCATGTCTGCGAATGGCTGCTTCATGCTCCGAGTGTCCCACAGCAGAACATGCTCATCATAGCTGAAACCCACCGAGCACAGGGATCACGCAGGAAAACCAATGCCCACTTTTCCCCCACGGCCCCCAGGTGGCAGGGGACACTCCTGGAGAAACCCATACCACTCATCCCTCTATAGGACAAAGTCCCTTCCCCCAAGCCCAGATAGCCACACTCTGGTGTAAGAGTTGGTCCAATTCAACAACATTGCAACGGTCAACATGAGAAAAGGAAGTGAAAGATGGAAGACAGACCCCTGTGACCCAACCCTAAGGGACTCACCTTCCTGTGGCCAAGATGTGCTCCCGATGGGGACTACTCTGGATGCTGCACACACCCATGGAGTGTCTGTAGGCAAAAGTCAAGGCCTGAGCAAGCTCCCACGCAGGGGCACGTCTCCAGTGGAAAGTCCACGGAGGAGGGACAGGAGGGTTGGTGTTACATGCCGAGGGCTAGCCCTTGATAATCTACCTCTCGCTAGTGAACACAGATGTGCCCGGTGTCCTGGTGTCCCAGCCTTTCAGAAGGGCGTCGTCCCCACCTGCGTGGGAACAGAAAGATCCACTGACAACAGCAGGCAGCCACTCCTCAGGGAGGGAATTTCTGCCCGTGGGGCAATCCCTGTGGATGACTTTTCCTGGGTGATTTCAGGTTGCCACCAGGCAGAAGAGCCCTGTGCTAGAACTGTGTCTTCAGACTTGGAGAGGGCCCCCGTGGGGAAGACAGGAAAGGCTGGGGGGCTCAGGCTACAGGAATAAAAGGGAAGCCCAAGAAGTTAGGGAAAGAATTTCCAGGTCACAACATGGCTAACGGGGCTCCTCTTTAGACTCCAGCAATCAATGCTCCTGGCTGCCGCAAACCAAAGTTGCCATATCAAAGAACTCTGAACCAGAATTGCATGCAGAAGGCAGCAAACATGAGCACTTCTTAAGTTTCTGGAACCTTCAGCACACCCCCATGTGTTTTAAAGGGAAGTGCCCTTTGTAACCTTACAGTAAAGAGGACCCCTGCTTGTCTTGGGGAACTGAAAAAATAGGAAGAAGGGGGAAGCTGGCACCATAATGCACAGTCTTTGAAGAAAAGCAACAACAAGATACAGGGTGCTGGTGGCTATCTTGAAGGAAGGGGAGCAAGGCTGAAAAGCAGGACCCACAGGGAGGATGAAGAGGAGCAAAAGAAAAACACCTGGGTCTGACCACTCCACCCATCCATCCACTCAACCGTCTGTGCTTCCATATACCCACCTGCCCACCACCTACCCACCTTCCATTCAACTACCTGCCCATCCAACAGGTGTTACTGAGCACGCCGCAGGTCCCTGTGACAGACAGAAGGGCTACGGCATGAACGTGACCTACAAGTAAGCAGACCAGCAGAGCCAGCACGAGGCCTGCAGGGGCGCCCCAACACGAGCTGCGGTCCTGTGGCTCAGTTACAGAGAAACCTGGTTGTGGCTTCTTTACACGCTGTTCCCTCCCGTCTCACACCCACGTTCACCCACCTGCACACATACATCCAGAGTCCTACCCCTTTTCCCTTGTGTGCACTACTCCCAACTTGGTCTGAGGCCCTTTTGCCCCCACCCGCATGGCAGGTCTCCAGGCTCTGCCCCCACCTCCTTGCAGTCTCTACTCAACACATTAGCGAAGCAGATCCCCTTCAATTCTATGATGTAAGTCAGAAAATGTCATCCCTCTGCTCAACATCCTGCTATTGTTCCTATTTCATTCTGAGCAAAAGCCAAAGTCCTTCCTGTGGCCTGATCTCACCTGCTTCTGTTCTGCCACCCCTCCCACCATTCTGGTCCTGCTGCTCTCCTCGTGAAGCAGGCTCACTCCTGCCCTAGGCCTCTGTCTACAGTGACCATGCTCTGTAACAGGACAGCCTGCCCCTGCCCCCACCCCAGTCCCCCAACCCTGGTCTACCTTTCTTCTTCCCAAAGCACTTATCACCTCTGAGCTACTGTGCCCTCTGTTCACTCATTATATGCTGTGCTCCATGACCGCTGCCCATCTCTCAATGTAAGCTCAGTGGAAGCAGGGACTTTTGTCTGTCTTGTTCACTCATGAATCTCAAGCACCTAGAACAGTGCATGGCACATAGTAGATGCTCCATAAACATTCATTGAATAAACGAGTTGGTGCTGAATTATTAAATCATAGCCCCCACAATACCCTTGCTCTGAATTAGCTAAGCCTCAAGGTAGTATAATCCAAGAACGAGAAGACCTAAAAAAATTAAATCTTGGGGTGCCTCACTGGCTCAGTCAGAAGAGCATGCAACTCTCAGGGTCGTGAGTTTGAGCCCCACCCTGGGTGTAGAGATCACTTAAAATAAATAAGAAAAATTTCTTTGAAAGAGAGAGAGAGAAAGAAAGAGAGAGAGAGACACACACAAAGAAAGAGGGAGAGAGAGAGGTCTGCTTAAGTAACCAAAATGCAGTTGTTTCTGGAAGACAGAGACCGTAGCTGAAGTCAGGAGAGCAACAATGCAGAGAGAGAAGAGCACCAGAGAGAGGCCCCAGAGGACACGAACACTTTCAAGCAGAGGGAAGGAGCCAGCAAAGTAGAATGAAGAGCAATCAGAAAGAAGAGGAAAAGTCCAGGGTAACCCAAGGAAAAGACGGCGCCAGGACGGGGTCAGCATGGGAATGTTGCTGAGAGGGTGCTCTCTGGATCAGGCCACTGAGGAGCTGAGTGAGAGCGGTTCTGGCAGAAAGGGGGAGACCATGCAGCGCCCTACAGTCCAACAGAATGTCCCTGGCCTCACCGCTCACTGTGGAGCTTAGCACACTACCAGCAACTGGATGCAGAAGGAAACCAGGGTCAGATCTTTTCTCTGCCTCTCTGCAAATCCAGCAGCAACCCTTCTGCTTTTTCTCAGGGGCCAATGCCCCCACCTCCCGCCTCCCATGTCCCATGAGTCCTCCCCACTTGGCCAAGAGAGGCCGACCACAGCTACCTGGCTCCTGCAACCTCTAGTTCTAGTAATTTCTCATTCTCACTTCAGCACCCACAATACATACCACTCACAATATCAGGAAATCAACCCTATCTTCTCTTCGGGAAGGTAACCTGTATCCAAAACGGGAGGAGACGAGCCTGAAATCCTACATGACAAAGTCGATACTGGACACAGAAACAGCAGCGGGAAATGCGGGAATTCTGGATTTCTCACAGCAGGAGCGAGGGACCAGGTGCCAAGAGTGGCAGGAGACAGGGCTCCCGCGGCTCCAACACTGTGGTCAGCGCTACCCAAGACCCCGCAAAGCCTCAACAGGTAAGCAGCGAGTACCAACTACAGCTTCTGTCTCCACAAAGGGTCAAGATCCCGACACGCCCGGAGTCCTGGCCCTGCCGTGCCACACTTGCCCCCTCCCTCCCTCACGGGGCCGACACCCAGCGGAGAAGTACCAACCTGAATAAACGATTTCTGTCTGCCAGTAATTGAAGGCAGCAACCCAGGCCTCAAAGTGATGGGCATGCCACGTGGCCACCTCCTGCAGTGCTGGCCCCGCCTCATTCACCTCTAGCAGGTGCAGCTGCCCCTTGGAGTCGCTGCTAATGATTTTCAAGGGCTGGTCACTGGCCCTAGACACAGGGAACCAATGGAGAAACCCAGCTGAATTTATTCATTGACCCAAACTCATCACCCTCTTCTGGCTCCCGACTGGTGACACTCCAATACATGTCAAGAGAGAGGTTCTCCATGGACCTGGTCCATGGACTTGCCCTTTAAGACGTTTGGGCATCTGGCAGAAACCAAAACTACCACTTCGCTTGTCAAAATAAACCCATGTCAGCTTCTCTTGATGAAAACACCATCCCTTTTATCTGAAAAGTCGGAATGTTTTCTTTCTAGATTAGGACTGGTAGTGATATTCCCAGGCCTGGGAAGCCACAGTCAAGGCTGGTGCAGGGTTTCAATCCTCTCTTGCGTGAAGAGACGAAAGACTTCTCAGAGGAAAGACTTGGGGTCCCTCACCAACGCCGGCCCCTACCTTTCAGCTTTCCCGGTGGACCAATCCAGAGACAGGGCCAGACACTGCTTCCCCAGGGCACAGCTGGAAACTGGCTGCAGTGTGTAAGCATTCTACTGGAGAGAAAAGAGCCCTATCAAAGGGAAACAGCCCAGAACCCTGGAAAGGCGATTCCTCTAGCTCAGGTGGCCATGATTCCCTCATCTACTACTAGATGAACAAAGTGTGTTAGTCCTTGATTCATCACAGATTGAGGACACTGGGGGCCTGGCCCCTGCTCTCCAGGAGCTCACACACCTGCAGGAGGACTTTCCCACACATGTGACCTGAGTGGAAGTGGGTCTGCTTTTCAGAACCCCTCGCTGTCCACGCACTCCTAGACACAACCCCACCACCTACATGGGCTCCAGGAAGCACCACTGGCGCACACTCCCCACGTCTCCCCGCCTCAAGGGATGCTGGGACACTCTGTCTTCAGGGACAGCGACAACGGGATCTTTCCCCTAGTTTCCGTTTCAGAAGCCACAACTAGCCATTAAACGCTGTTTCTCTTTTCTAAGATACATTTAAGTTTCTTTATTACCTAGGCAAGCTGGACAGTGCTTAACACTCTCAAAAGGCTCCTAGCAGGCTGCCTCCTCAGGGTCTCTCTGCAGGCTATCTGCTCTTGCCAGAACCTGGTTCGTGGGCCCACAGTCTTCCCCAGATTATCCCTCCCTCATTCCTCAGACAGGGCTGCAGCAAGGCCCTTTACACACAAGCCCTCAGCTGCCATGACTCCAACAGCAAGGGGACTTGCTCCAGTCCCACACACCTGCATTAATGTGTGTCCCTCCCACCGAGTGAGGGCTTGGTCTTGTGGGCTGTTGACTTCCCTCGACTACAGGACTTCCCAGTTCTCCCGATCCTTCAACAATCAGATGCAGTCATTTTGCAAACACGTGGTACTGATCAATACCAAATGCTCTGCGAAAGCCACATGGGAAACATACGCCTTCCTAATTATGGGTGACAAATACCACTTTCACACAGAGGATTCGTTGCTATTCTTGGCCCCAGCATCATGAACCTAAGAATGCTGGTCCAGGCTTTCCGTAAAGAACTTTCAGATCCACTGACAGGTGAATGAATACCCTGTCACTTGGGGCGCCTGGGTGGCTCAGATGGTTAAGCATCTGCCTTCAGGTCAGGTCATGATCCCAGGGTCCTGGGATCGAGCCCCACATCGGGCTCCTGGCTCAGCGAGGAGCCTGCTTCTTCCTCTCACTCTGCCTCTCTCCCTGCTCATGCTTTCTCTCTCTTTCTCTGTATCTCTGTGTCTCAAATGAATAAATAAATTTAAAAAAAAGATTAAAAGTATCTAAATCTTTAAAAAAAAAAAATACCCTGTCACTTCAGCCCTTCCACTGGTGACACATAGGTGACTTCTTCTCAGAGTTAGATGCAGAACCCAATAATTTAAAATAGACTGCATGCTAGATTAGGATGTTTTATGATAAAGTTTGCCATTGAACAGAAATCATGTTACAAAAAGGTTTGTAGCAGCACCGCCTCATGCCCAAACCCTCTCCACTCAGATTCTTTCCGCCCCCCACTAGGACAACTCCTGGTCCTAGTCACTGACCTCAGATCCCACCAAGCAGAGTAGCTCTATGGACCCACCAGCATCTGCCACACCTAAGAGGGCACGGCCGGCCACCGGGATGTGGCACCTGAGGGAGAGAATTCATATGCCAGTCAGAACACAGGATACACCCAGAGCACAGGAGAGCATTATGCACCTCAGTAACTTATTATTTAAATTTCAGCTCCAAAACCAGGTTGTAGCCTACAATTCTGTTCCAAGATTCCCCAGCTTATCAATCAGAAAACGAGCATCACTTCCCAGACTCATACCAACCCTAGGACTTGGAAACTGACAAATGAAAGGAGCCCAAGTCTACTGTACCCTCCAAGTGCCAACAGGTGGGCAGAACAATAAGGAAATGAAAAAGTTCAGACATTTCCCCATCTTATTGAATGCTGACAGGCATCAGGCTCCCTGATTAAATGAATGGATACTCTTGACAAATTCCAGACAAGAGGAATTGTTATCAACATTATACCATTTCATGTCCAGGATTGCAGAAGTATCTCTTCTTTGGATCTCAAGCAGGGGGCAAGCAGGGCTGTCCTCATAGAAACTATACAAGTAGAGACGACCTAAACGGACTTGAGGCTCATCAACGTCCAGTCCACTCTACAAAAAATTCAGATGTATTCTCTGATTACCCTAATAGATACCGAGGGACCCAAGGGATGGGAAAAGGAATCAAGGGAAAGAAAAGGCTTGCCAAGACTCCGGGACTCTGGTGGCTCAGTAGGTGAAGCCTCTGCCTTCAGCTCGGGTCATGACTTCCGGGTCCTGGGATTGAGCCCCGTGTCAGGCTCCCTGCGCAGCGGGGAGTCTGCTTCTCTCTCTGTCCTTCCCCCTGCTCGTTCTCTCTCTCAAATAAATAAAATCTTAAAAAACAAAACAAAACAAAACAAGACTCTGGAACTCTACCTGGAAGCAATATCCCTGATTTTCTGAGCTGGAGAAATGTCTCTTCTCTTGTTATACTATTAGTGGGCAGGCAGATAAACTCTGCTGGGCTCAGCATAGTATGCTCCCTTTTTTTGAAGTTTTATATAAATAACCTCTACACCCAATGTGGGGCTCAAACTCACAACCCTGAGATCAAGAGTTCCGAGCTCTACCAACTGAGCCAGCCAGATGCCCCTAGAATGCTCCTTCTTTTTTTTTTTTTTTAAGATTTTATTTATTTATTTGAGAGAGAGAATGAGATAGAGAGAGCATGAGAGGGGATAGGGTCAGAGGGAGAAGCAGACTCCCCGCCGAGCAGGGAGCCCGATGCGGGACTCGATCCCGGGACTCCAGGATCATGACCTGAGCCGAAGGCAGTCGCTTAACCGACTGAGCCACCCAGGCGCCCTAGAATGCTCCTTCTAAGCGGGCTAATAGGGACCAGCTATGGTAGGGTTGCCACAAGACCCAGTTGCCCTGAAAGGTCCTGACCTAGACCTGTTGCTGGAGTGCCAGTTCTCATTCTTTTAAGTGTCCTGGTTTGCGTCTGAATAGATGCCTTCGAGAGATTAGGTATAGCTCCTTCCAATTCCCATTTTTTCTTTATTCTAGGCTTCATCCATAAACTTGAGCCACACCTGCATATAAGGTACTCAAGATTCCCATTCCAATCGCCTGGCTGGCTCAGTTGGTAGAGAATGGGGCTCTTGCTCTTAAGGCTGTGAGTTCCAGCATGATGTTGGGTGTAGAGATTACTTACCTGAATAAACTTTAAAAAAAGATGCCCATTCTAACCTACCTTCTGACCACAAGACCAACGTCACATCTTCATCTCCCGTGTGAGTCCACACAGACTTTTCTCTTCCAGCCTTCCCCACTGCAGGCCAGACATGCCTCAACATTTGTGGTGGGCTCTGCCCGTCTGCAGTATTTTCCCGCCCTTCCCGAGACCTCGCCTGAAAGAGGAGCGGCGCTTTTGCTGCTCGAGACGCCATTCGGGGGGCGCAGACCCAGAGAGCCGCGGTCAAGACCGCCTAAGGCCAGAAGGGCACCGCACACCTCGCTCTCAGGGTCGGTGGGCTGCTCCTCCGGCTTCCGCAGCTGGTAGGTGCCGCAGGCCAACAAGTGCCTGCAGCCTTCCAGCGGGCACCACTCCACCGAGTCCGCGGTGTACTCCGTGTCCACCGCCTGCAACAGCCGGACGCGACTTCCCGTCTCCCAGGAGTCAGACGAGGACCCAGCGGAGACCCGGTGGCGAAGCGGGGGTGGCGAGGCCAGGTTGAGAGCGGGGTCGGGGCCGGGGCTGAGGTCGGCGGTGACACCGGGGATCGGGGCCGGGGCTGAGGTCGGCGGTGAGGGTGGGGGTCGGGGCCGGGGGCTGAGGTCGGCGGTGACACCGGGGGTCGGGGCCGGGGCTGAGGTCGGCGGTGACACCGGGGGTCGGGGCCGGGGCTGAGGTCGGCGGTGACACCGGGGGTCGGGGCAGGGGCTGAGGTCGGCGGTGACACCGGGGATCGGGGCCGGGGCTGAGGTCGGCGGTGAGGGTGGGGGTCGGGGCCGGGGGCTGAGGTCGGCGGTGACACCGGGGGTCGGGGCCGGGGCTGAGGTCGGCGGTGACACCGGGGGTCGGGGCAGGGGCTGAGGTCGGCGGTGACACCGGGGATCGGGGCCGGGGCTGAGGTCGGCGGTGAGGGTGGGGGTCGGGGCCGGGGGCTGAGGTCGGCGGTGACACCGGGGGTCGGGGCCGGGGCTGAGGTCGGCGGTGACACCGGGGGTCGGGGCAGGGGCTGAGGTCGGCGGTGACACCGGGGATCGGGGCCGGGGCTGAGGTCGGCGGTGAGGGTGGGGGTCGGGGCCGGGGCTGAGGTCGGCGGTGACACCGGGGATCGGGGCCGGGGCTGAGGTCGGCGGTGACACCGGGGGTCGGGGCAGGGGCTGAGGTCGGCGCTGAGAGCGGGGGTCGCGGGCGGGGCTGAGGTCGGCGGTGAGAACGGGGTCGGGGCTGAGGTCGGCGGTGCCACCGGGGGGTCGGGGTCGGAGCCTCAGTGAGGAGAAAACGAAGTTCCAGGCCGGTCCCTTTTACTTCCGCAATCTCCTCCCTCCCTTTTCCGGGGCACCGGGGGCGGGACTTCCGGCCGCCGTTGCCGCCTCGCGTGAGGCCGGGCTCCTGCGCCTCCTGCCGGCCGGCGGACCTCAGCGGGCCCCACGCGGGTCTGGAGGGACAGCGGAGTATCCAGATGCAATCGCAGAAGAGCTGGGCTCTTAGAAAGGGGAGGGAGAGGAGAAAACGGGGAATAGAAGTGGGGGTGAGTAAAGGGCCTACACCTTCAGGGAGCCAAGTCCAGGGTCGGGTCCAAAGGGGCTGGCCATGCCTGCCCTCTGTCCCTCACGTCCATCCCAGGGGGGCTGCGGGTACGGCGAGAAGTGCGGCGCACCAGTGGACGCAAAGACCCGCCTGCCAGGACAGCAGAGAAAGGAGCCAGGGCCAGCTGGGGGTGCCTGATGCGCCGCCGGCTGGGGTGGTGGGCGGAAGGTGGACAGAGGGCCTGGAGAAGAGCCAGCATCTGGGCCCAAGGGGCAGGGCTCGGAGGACACCCAGCACAGCCAGGATCTGATCTGGGAGACTGAGCAGACGCTGCTGCCATTCACGAAAATGAACATATTCTACAGAAGAGGTTTGGGGAAGGCAAGCTTTGGGCACTGTTAAGGATGGACTGAGTTGTGTCTCTCCAAAAAGATATGTCGAAGTCCTATCCCACAGCACCACAGAATGTGACATTTGGAAAGAGGGTCTTTACAGAGGTAATCCAGTTAAAATTAGGCCATTAAGGTGGGCCCTATCCAATATGACTGCTACCTTTATGAAGGGGTGATTTGGTCTCTCAGGGACAGACCCACACAGGGAAGACAACATAAAAACAGTTTGGGGATGATGCATCCACAAGGCAAGGGACACCTGAAACTGCCAGAAGTTGGGAGAGGCCTTTCCCATGTGTCTTCAGAGGGAGCATGGTCCTGCCAACACCTTGATTTGGGACTTCTGACCTCCACAAATGGGATGATACATTGTTGTTTTAAGCCATCTAGTTTGTGATACTTTGTTATGATAGCCCCAGGTAACTGGACTGGCTGACGTTGAAATCTACATGGATACCTGGGTACCCAGCCTGTGGTTTTTGAAGTAGGGCTTTGGCTGGAAATACAGCTGTGAGTCAGCAGCTCAGAGGGCAGCTGACTGATCAGGAAGAAACAGGACTGTCCAAAATGGGAGAACCACACACCTGTACCTGGTACAAGAAATGGTCAAAGGGAGCATGGCTGGCTCATTTGGTAGAATATTCAACTCTTGATCTTAGGGTCATGAGTTTCAGCCCCACACTGGGTATAGAGATTACTTTAAAAAAAAAAATCTTAAAAAAAAAAAAAAGTCAGGGCACCTGGGTGGCTCAGTGCAGCGTTTACCTTTGGCTCAGGTCATGCTCTCAGGGTCCTGAGATCGAGCCCCGCGTGGGGCTCCCTGCTCAGCGGGGAGTCTGCTTCTCCCTCTGCCCCTCCCCCTGCCCGTGCTCTCTCTCCCTTAAATAAATAAAATCTTAAAAAAAAAGGGCGGGGGGAATGCCTAGGTGGCTGCCAGTTAGGCGTCTGCCTTCAGCTCGGGTCGTGATCCCGGGGTCCTGGGATCGAGTCCCGCATCGGGCTGCTTGCTCAGTGGGAAGCCTGCTTGTCTCTCTGCCTGCCACTCCCCCTGCTTATGCTCTAACAAATAAAATCTTAAAAAAAAAAAAAAAAAGTCAGGGACGCCTGGCTGGCTCAGTCAGTTAAGTGTCTGCCTTCGGCTCGGGTCATGATCCCAGGGTCCTGGGATGGAGCTCCACATCAGGGGTCTGCTTCTCCCTCTCCTTTTGCCTCCCCCCGCCCACCATCATGTTCTTTCTCTCTCAGATAAATAAAAATCTTAAAAGTCAAGCAGCTCCACAATTACACAAGTCCCTTATTTTAACCATCTGAATGTTAACCTTACTCTCAGATGCATAGCTACAAAGATCAAGAGACTGGGGGCCATCAGAGGAGAAAAGAAACCAGGGGCTGGTATCAGAGAAGGGACAAGGGAAGCAAACAGGGATTGAGAGCGGTCTATGGATCCTATAGCACCTTCATGACAGCGTGCACTCCAGGGGGCCACAGCAATGATGAAAGCAAAGGGAAGGAGTCACTACACAGGCAGCTTTAGAACCTTGTGGCCACCTTCCAAGCTCCAGCCCACTTCCCCAGCACAGATGTGGGGGGGTCTCTAACACACAGGCCAGGGGAGTAGCCCAGTTGGATAGGGAACAGCTACCAGCTGCAGCACCTGCCTGAAGCAGCCACAGTGGACAGCAACGCCTCGGCCAACGCTATTCCAGATGAGCCGCGGGACGTGGAAGAGACCAGTCGTGTGTCAGGACCTGGTGCGCTGTCCTACAGGGCCACTGAGACCTTTCGATGTAATTTTCTGATGAGTAGCTGACCACAGGACAATGTGTGCGGGTCAGGGGATGCAGACAGGCTGAAGTGCCCACACACAAAGAACACAGGCAAAATCCAGCCTCTGGTCTGGTGCCTCCTCACCCCAGGAGCCTTTGAAAGCACGCTGCCTGCGCACACTCAAGGCCCTGCGCCTGGAAGCCCACCCAAACCCCAACATGCCGGCCTACACCAGCCCTCGGAACGTCTCAAGGGCTCAAGCCAACTGCTGTCTGCAGGACTGTCTCTCTGGGTCACACATATCCCCCTCCCCAGTAGGTTTCTGAGCCCCCGTTACTACTCAACCTAGGGTCAGGAGAGACCTAGAGTAGACCTCACCTATGGAGCAAAGATGTCCCTGGCCTAGAAAATATGCTGCACCTAACCCACAGACTGGCAAAGGGGAGCAGGTGGGGTTCTCTCACCTTCAGAGACCCTCCCTCGGAGTTAGGAATGAGCCCTCCTGCGCCCTGTATGTTGTCTTCACCTGATTTCCCCAGTCCTGCTCTCCAAGACATACTGCCCCAGGACTGCAAAAGAACCTACCAGAAGCTCAACTCACAAACCGAGGACACCAAGAGGCTGTCCCCAGCCAGGGAAATGAAAACACACAAGGCAGATGGAACGCACTGAAGATGACAGAAGAGCTGCACCAGGGACAGCGTAGCAGGAACCCCTGGGACCAACATGGGGAAAGGGATGGCCCAGGACACACAGTCAGGTGGAATGGCCAGCCTTCAATTTCCCAGGAAGTAAAGCCTCTAGCAGGCTGGCTGGCTGGCTGACTGGCTGGATCTGGAGACCAGTAAGTTTCCAGGCGCAGAGCCTGGCTCATTGCCCTCAGGTGGTTCTGCAAGGTGGAGGAGACACCGCCCAGCCTTCGGACACCTGTGGCTCCCTGGGAGAGGGAGCCCAGCAGAGTAGACAGGGAGGCAGCACTCACTCACCCTGGCTACTCCAATGCACAGGCAGGACCTCAGGGGGTCTGCTGGGCAGAAGCTCCGCCACTCAGTGCATGAATCCAGGTGAGAATTTACCTGTGCCAGGGCCAAGAACATTCCATGCCCACTAAACGGGGCTGCCTACTCCAACACCCCCAGGAACTCCTGCCACGGGACAAGCACAGTCTGGTCTCACGTTCCCTGCCTGCCTCCTCTCTCTCAACCCAGGAATAAAGGCAACCCCCACCCCCCACGCCCGGACCACCTTGATTCATTCCAAAATAAACCTCGACGGCATTAAAGGCAAAAAGGAGAGCACAGAATGGCTGAGGCACTCGATGATTCCACCCCTTTACTGTGCCTTGGAGATACGGCCCCATGCAGGCCGCGCTCCTCGGGGCTGCAGCTGCCCGGGAGAAGCTTCTGCTACGTGACACTTTTTAGACTTTTTAAACATGTGGCCCGACCGTTTGCCATTTGAGAATTACAGCAAATGAT